ATCACACAAACTGTAAGATCCAGCATTTCTTCAGGGGCTACTGTGTGTGGAATCCTATTAAGCGCTTTATAGATATTATCTTTGCACGAGAATCTTTCAGTTCAGTGATACTACCCTACTTTGTGGAATAAGAAACTGAGGCTCAAATAAAGCCAAGGCTGCAAACTTAAATGCCAACAGAGACAACATAAATGATTAAAATAAGGGGCACTGCCCCATATAAAGAAAAATCAGTTCAAGCCAATTGTTGTTAAGCAGGAAACCAGGCCCAGTATTGCCAGATCGTTCGATTTTTCCAGAAGAGCCAGAAATCTGGATTTGTGCCGAAATCATCTGATGTTCAGATATTGGTAACTAATTAAGTTTTTTAAACCATGTGTTGGCCAAACCAAACAGATGTGCAAAGCAAATTCAGCCGCAGGTCTTGCAAACTCTGGAATCAAGTAACTTGCTTAAGGTCTCACAACTGGCAAACGATAGGACAAATCAGAACCCAGCTCAGCCTGCTCCCCAAAGCATCTCTTCTCTTAGGATGCTACAGAAATAGCTGTATTGAATTAAATGTAAATTTGTTTAAATGACTCAACTTCTAAAGCTACAGATTCTATAGACGGGGCAGAGGTAGGAGGCTTTAGAGAAGGTAAGCAAACAGCCTGAGGGATTCTTGTTGGGCCACAAGGAGCATCGGGTGTGGTTAGAATTTTTTCTCTTAAAATCTTCGAAGAATTCAGACATTCCAACTGCTATCTGTTGTTCACCTCTGGGTTTAATACCAGCAAAAGGAAAATCAGGACGTTCCTTACGCCACCCCAAAGACAATCTAACTGGAAGCTGTATGAAACCTCCTACAGGTCTCTTATTTAGAGTAGCCTTTACACAGCCCCTTTTTAGCAGGAGTTCCCTTCTGTCGATATTTACAGAGGCTGAGGTTTTGTTCAACCATGTCCTGGTATTACAGAGCCCCAGAACATAAATAAGACACCTGCAATCACCATATCACTAGTTTCAAAAGACTGTAGCATTTAAAATGGCTTAACATTTCACTTCATTTTCCACTCTTGACTGTGTGAAAGGTTCTCCTGAAACAGCTGAGCTGACTTGCCTATGGAGAATTAAAGAGCGCCACGCATGCACGCATGCACGCACACATAAGCAGCCATTTCTGTAAATGCCTGAGAAAAAACACTGAGCCGAATGGTCCAGAATGTTGGGAATGTTTTTCCATGTCGGGTAGACTCAGGTAGCTCACACAGAAGCACTGTAGGCCTCCCCAGCTGCACAACTGGGCAGCTCCCTGAAGGAGAAAGTGCCTTTGCTCAAGGTGGCAGTGGGTGTCCCTGTGAACCACCGAACCCCGGGAACATGGCTGACACAGCCAGGCCCGCCTAACAGCTGTTGGTGAGTAACACCCTCCGCTTAATACACCCCTATTTCACCCCTGGCAAGCCACGCTAAAGGTCACATCCCCCAATTCAGGCAGCGTCTTCCCACAGCCTTACAGATACAAACTTTAAAAGGTGCAGTTTTATGGCAGCCTAGATGACAACCCCAAACAGAGCCTGATTTTGCATTAACCACGGAGGAAACTGTTTTCCTCCTGTGCCAGCAGCCACCTCCACGGGAAGCACTTTCCAAAGGAAACAAAATATGAGATGCAGTTACGTGGCCTTTCTTTTAAAAGGCAAAACAAAACAAAATCAACCAATTATCATTTTAAAACCACAGACCCAAGGTCTCATCTTAAAAGTGCCAAAAATTACACAAAAATGACAATACTTTTCCAAGTACCTCCAACAACCACCTTTTAAGCCTGGCGTCATAGCACAGGGGAAAGGAGCTTCATGAGAAGCCCCAGCCCTGTGCTTCTTTCTCAGAATGGCGCTGTAAAGGAGCCTTACTAAAGATGGTGAGGTAGCATGGCCAAGTGTCAACGCTTCCCAACTTTCTCTGAGTATGTTAAACAGAACCAACAGAATTGGCTGACCACGTCCCGGAACTCTCCAAAGCCCACTTTCTCCCGCAGACGTCTTTCTAGTCACATCCCCCCGGCCAGCCCTGCCTTTTGCTCTCCCTGGGAGACACCATTCCTTGGGGCCTCCAGAAGGTTTCAGCAGTCATTACCCAGCCCTGACCTCCAGCAAGGACCACACCTCCTCCTCCCTAACTGCCCAGTTCAGGGTGGACCGTGACCATACGCCACGTGGGGGGGAAACAACAGCCCAGTTCTTGAAATCTCCCTCAGTAAAGAGGCTAACTAGTCGCGAAGTTAACCCACCAACCATCACTTCATCTAGCTCCTCGGATGCCTGAAGCCGTGTTATTTTAAACCTCTCTGGGGACTCCTGGCCAAATTTAAAACCACCCTGGCAATCCCCGAAAAGTAGCAGGCACACAGCGAAACGGCCCTCAGTCACTCAAAGGGCTCCCTCCGCGCGCAGCGTGCCACTCCTCCCAGGTTTGGGCATTCCTCTGCAATCCCACAAGGGAGTCAGATGAAAGGTGCGCCATTC